TTAGTCGTTATTGAGAAGTTAAACTTTCTCAAAGCAAGGTAGAGACTTACATAAGTCAAATCCAATCTCTTGACCATCATGAAGTGCTTTGTAAAGTTTCATTAAACTGAACTCAGAGTCTTTGTCATATGTTCCAACAGGTATGTGAATGTTCTTATCTTCATTGTAATAGCATTGTATAGCTTCAGGAAACATTTCATTAGCGGTTAAAGCAAGAACGTCTTGTTTTACACCTTTACAACGTGCATGAAATGCAACTTCATTTAAATCGTTAGTGAGTAAGTCTATGTAGTCTTCTTTCCACAAAATATTGACTTGTATGCTAAACTTTGTTTTCCAGGTGTTATTTCTGCGAAGTCAGAATGGAACTGACCTAATGTTTTACCAATAAGTTCTCTACCGTATCTCTTCTGAAATTCCTGAGCTAACAGTGGGATGTCTTCATTGAAAATATGCATGCTATCGCAGTCCTGGTAAAATATTTGAAGACCCATATCTTCAGCAGTACAGAATACTTCACACATTATTCTCTTCGACATAGACAGAATGTTAACACCAAGTGGACAGAAGTTAAAGTGTCTGCAAATGCTTTTCGTTAGCTTGAAAATAGTTTTATCTGAACCATCCAAACCTTCGAACTTCACTATATGGTTGTAGTTTCTGATGGCATATCTTATAGCATCTTTGTCATTTACTATGGTTATTTTTGACTCAATAGGAGATAGAATAGTTTTGCCATAAATACTGTTCAGAATGAGCTTTATATTTTCTTGCAAAGGATTTCCTTCTTTCTTATACTTTAACCTTAACTCAAACAACTTCTTTACTTCATCTCTTATTCTAATATCTCTGTTTCCATCGTAATAGTATCCTTGCAACACTTCACATTTGACACCTTGATATTTTATGAGGTCTTGTAATGTTATATGGTCAACATACATTAAACAGCAAGTGTTTGAACTTCTGGGAACGTTAAGTTCTGGATTTAGTTCAGGGTCACAAACTATTAAAGGAAAGTGTCTATGTATTCCAATCTCTGTTATCTTAATGAGAACAAAGAAGCCAGACATAAACTTTTCACCAATGGGTTCCTTTTGGTCGTCATCGAATAAATGTCTCATGAGATACTCTGTGCTTAACATTTCTTTCTTCATACTTTGGAATACCTTCTAAAGTATAAAGTCTTGCTATAGCTGATGGATATAATGAAACAGCGTCGAAGTCAGCAATGAGTTTCTTTTCGCTCTTTTGTTTATGTTATCTGACAGCATACATCTTCCACCTTGAATACAGCGTGAAATAAATTCTCTTGGTTTATTTGAGAGGTCATATAAATTTCCATTCGGGAAGTACACTCTGTTCTCAAACAATTTGTTAGCAATAGAACAAATACTAACGTAGTCATAAACGTTTAAATCAAATTCTTTCAATATGTCATTGCGGAACTTAACAAAACCTTCTCTTAAAATTCTTACATCTTGTTTGCAATAAAATGTGCTATACTTTTCTAAGTCGAAGTGGTTCTCATCTATTCTGCAACCTTTGATGGAATCTATGTTTTTCATGAATGTATCTGCATCCCGGATAAACTTACATGCTTCAGAAATGACACCAGTTCTGTTGTCATTTGCTAACAAAACACTGCTGTAGTAGTTGTATGGAAATACTTCTTTCGGTCCTGTTTGTAAGTTAAACATAGCAGGAAATAGTTTAAGCTTCTTATTTATAACACTGTAAGAGTCTTTTATAATAATTGCCCTTCCTTTATATAAGCCAGTTATTTGCATTGTTCGTGAACCTTTAATGATGGGAGTTCCTTTCACTTCTGTCATGTGTCTTAAGATGAAGTTTATATCATAACTGAGGTTATGGAAATATATTAAACTCTTGTCAGGAAGTCGTTCCAAAAATTCTGTTGCACAGTTCTGACCCCAAATGCTTTCACTCACTGAACCATCTTCACTGTTAACATATGTTAAAAGCTTTATGAAAGCCATCGGTACTAACTCAAAGTCAGCAAAGAAAACGTGCTCAGGAATGAACTTACATTTAGCTTTATTTACTTCTTTTGACTCGGCTTTCTTCTTCAGTTGTACACAATACTTTGGAGCATATGTCAAATCTTTAAATGGTGCAAGGTTCTGTTTATATAAGTCAGTCGTATATGTGAAAAGTTCTCCATAAGAAATAGGTTCGAAATATTTGCACTCCCACAATGTTTTCATAACATCCCATAACGGTGTTGTTCTATCATAACGAACTACATATTTTCTCTCTCTTTGTATAAATCTTCATCTGTTTCTCAATGTTCATTCCACCACAAGCTTTGAGAATTTCTATATAGTTTCGAATGAAATATGTTGTCATTGGTAATCTTTCATTTAGCATGTAGTGGTCTTCAACAAGAAGTAAGTCAATAGTTTAACAGTTTCACATTCTTTTGGTATGTATCTCTTTATTTCATTATGTCTTGAGTCATTGAAATAACCAATGGTAACATTAAATGCTATACCTGTTGCGTCAGAAATTTCTTGTACTTTACTTTGAGGAAAGTCTCTAACACGAATGACTTCTCTCATGTGGTCAATAGTTTCTTCATTTACTCCAGCCTGAATGCAAGCATAAACGAAACAATTGTCTTCTGTCATAAGTGTTGCAGTTCTTTTGTTCAGTTCATTGAAGATTTGGTAGCGTTCAAGATTTATAGGTAATGTGCAAAGATACTTCCAGAACTGACCGCTTCTCTTCTTATAAAACTTCTTTTCACCATTATCTTTCCAAAAGCTTTCTATAAGTGCTGGGTTTCCTGTTTGCTTAAGAGCTTCCAAAATGGCTTTCTGGTCATTTGTCAGTGTGCTTTCATCTCTATATGGTCTCTTTTTTGGTTTGCCTTTCTTTACATCTGACATCGTTAAGCCTTCATATTCTGTTAAATCATACATCTTTATTTCGGTAAGATTCTTTATGTTTGTCAAGAAGAAGTCATAGTGCATTTCAACAATACCTGCAGCATTTGCTTCTATCTCTGATATAAAGTTCTCCTTCAAGAGCTGATGTAGTAATGTTCCAATATTATTGAGGTTTAACGTAGAACATTCATACTTTCCACCAAGTTTATAACATACCATCCATCTCTGTTGTGAGTTTATTTTAATTTCTCTAAGAGTCTCATGAAAACCTTACCGAAATGTTTGTGTAAGTAGTCTCTGTTTGGTTCATCTAAAGCTTCGATGTTAAAGTCAATGAGTCTATTACCTGTCTTCACATTCCTCTTCCTATTCTCTTCATCTTTCTTTAACCATCTCTCACCTTCTTTTGGTTTGTCGTCAATGGAACGAATGACATCGTTAGCTTTGCGAACTTGTTCTATAGCGCTCTTAAACATCTCTCTTCTCTGTTGTTTCAGTGTGTCGTCTCTTCTTCTTGTTTCACCAACGTTTGCATTTGTTATGTCAAACATTCTCTTCTTACTTCATGAGTACAGCTCTTCTTGTTTCACCAACGTTTGAGTTCGTAAGTTCAAACATCTCTTGACGAACATCATGTGAAAGAGCTTTACGAGTATGACCAACGTTTACATTTGTTATGTCAAACATTTCTCTTCTTACTTCATGAGGTACAGCTCTTCTTGTTTCACCAACGTTTGAGTTCGTAAGTTCAAACATCTCTTGACGAACATCATGTGAAAGAGCTTTACGAGTATGACCAACGTTTACATTTGTTATGTCAAACATTTCTCTTCTTACTTCATGAGGTACTGAACGTCTATGATATAAGTCAATAGCAACGTCATTTAAAGGAAATGCTCTTGCATGGACTTCGTCCTCGCCGCGTTGCGGCTTTATGAACTCATGAATTCTATCATAACTTATAGCACCATTATAGTCATTGAGGATGTCAGCGAGTGCTTTTTTGTTTGTTGCGTAATGCTTTGCTACTTCTATATTAGCTTCTGTAAGAAGTTGTTTTATTTCCGAGTGTTCTAACTTAGACAACATTAAAAATATTTTTTGAAAAATTAGATTAGATTTTTTTAAGTTATTTTCAAAATAATTTAATATTTTTATTTTAATGAAACACATGCAAGATTGCAAGTTCTTTTCATACAATGCTCTCGCTACTGCCATCAAGAATGAGTTCAGTAACGCTTCAAATGTTAATGTTATCTTTAACAAGAAGTTTGTGAAAGAATCTAAGTTTGGTCAGTATGTCAGACCATTAGCTATCGTCATTAACCGCAAACGTTATACTTCACAAGAGTTAGCAGTAGTTTTGAAACAAAAGAGTTTCTTCGTGAATGTCAAAGATACTCATTATACTGTCATAAAGAACTCTAACGTTGACTTCTTCAGTATTGCTTTAAATCTTTCCGAACAGAAAGAATATAAGAAGGGTGAAACATCTGTGAAATATTATCCTTCATCTCTGAAGACAATAACGAACAAAGATGTTATACAGAAATTCTTACCAAAGGTTGAAGAAGCTTCTATTGACATTGACGAAGGAAGTGAAATGGTTGAAGAAATAGACCCTGAAGCTATTTAAGCAAAAATATATTTTTGAAGAACTGAAAGTGTCACTACGTCACCATGTCACCAGGTTAATTAACTTCTTTTAAAAAGTGTGACAACATGACATTTAGACAACAGGTATGAAAGGAGGAAGGCATTTATGAATTATTTTTGAAGAACTGAAAGTGTCACTACGTCACCATGTCACCAGGTTAATTAACTTCTCCTAAAATTACTGACAACATGACATTTTGACAACAGGTACGAAAGAGCGAACAGCATGATGCTTCGTTAATGTTATTGTTAATGCTTACAGTGTCGAACATAATTGACGTAGGATTCATGACTTCTTCGTAAATGAGTGTAAATATAGCACAAAAATATATTTAGGTGAAGAGGTGAGATCTCACCCGTTTTTTCACCTCTTTTTTCACCTCATTCTCTCTTCGTTAATGTTGTCGTGATTTCATCGTTAATGTTGTCGTGACTTCATTCTTCCTCTTTGAAGTTGTCGAAATATTCTGTTATTTTTTCCTTCAGTAATGGTAAGTCTTCTTTGAATGTAAGTATTGTGCAACCTTTGATGTCATAGTGTGTTTGAGGAAGAGTATTTTTGACAATTTCCTTTATTTGTTCATTCGGAGTCATTGAAATCGGTAAGTTTTCACGATAGAACCAGTTTCTGTCAGATTTATATATTTTAGCTAAGTCATAAAAGCTCTTGTTGTTTCTTCTGACTAAATGCAACATAACCATATCTTTATCTTCTTCTTTCTCCAACTCTTCAGTATAAATCATATACTTATAACTCTTTTCCTTTCCTTTTGGTACTGAACGTGGTATTCTTTTCTGTATGCTTTTGTCTTTGGATTCAATGACATCATCTTTTGCATGAAGTTTCTTTTCCATCTCTCCACGTTCTGCTTTATATAGTTCATCTAACATCATGAAAATATAACAAGCATAACGAGGTGAAGCCCACATTGCTACAGCGTTTACTAAAAGTCTATGAACATAATAACCTTTCAAACTAGGAGCCAAATTCTTGCGATTTTCGTACGGAATCTCTTCTCTCGGTTTTCCGAGGGAAGCAATCATATGAGGAAATTCTTCTAAAAGTTCTTTTGTCTGTTGGTTTTCAAACCAATGATATGCTTGCTTTGTAGAACGAAGAGCATTCATTATACTTTGCATTTGGTACATGTCATCTTTGACTGAACGAATGAGACGTAACTGTTTGTTATACTGTATGTACTCGTATTCTTCATTTATGGCTTCATGAACGATAGCAGTTGTTGTGTTCTCTGATGTTGACATTACTGTCTTTACATACAAGATAAAAATTTTGTTAGAAAAAAAATTAGCGTTATTTTCTGACTTTCACAAAAGACCAAAAATAAACGCTTTACATGTATTTTTCAGCAACTTCGTCAAATAATTTTATAGCTTTATCTATCTCATCTACTTCAAACGTTTCTTTACCTTTCGTGGAGCACCATACATTTTCTCAAAAACTTCAAGCAGTTCTGTTTCAGCAGCTCTCATATCATTAACAAACACAACCTTGACTCTATTGACTGTAGAGTCATATCTTTGAGTTATATTATATGTCCTTCCTATCTTATATCTTTTTGTGTTGAAGTCCTTCGGTTTCTGAACGATATAAAGTAAGCCTTCACTGCAACGTTCCGTATCGAATGAACCATATGTTATGAAGTTATATCCAACAACTGGGTCTAACCATAACAAAACTATTGGTATAAGACTTTTGTCTATAAGATATGCTCTTGTTCCATGAAATGCTACTGATATCATAAGCTCAGGATTTCTTGTCAAAATTTTCTGAGTTGAAGCATTTCTAACCCAGTCGTTTGTTTTCTTTCCAGATGGAGATATAATGTCTGACAAAGAATATTTGTTGTATTTCTTTGAGTATCTTACGTTTAAATCACCAATTCTAACCACTTTGGTGTCATTGTCTATCTTTCTAACTGTTTCAAACTCAATGTTTGACATTACTGTCTTTACATACAAAATAAAAATTTTTCTTAGAAAAAAATTAGCGTTATTTTTCTAACTAATGAAATTCATGAAATTTGGTCATTTTTCAGCAAAAATAATGTTTAGGTGAAGAGGTGAGATCTCACCTGTTTTTTCACCTCTTTTTTCACAAGCGTTTTACATGAATTGTACGATGTATATTTGAAATCCTAAACAATTTCATAGCTTCAATTTCTTCTTTTTAGTACATCGAATGTTTTAATCGTGCCGAAAGTCTCTTTATATTTCTTCTTGACGTCAGACAGAAGGAATCTTCTGCTGTTGGATAGTTTTTATTAAGAAATGTCAACATATCCATTTTATCTTCTGCTGGCTTTTCTGCTTCTTTCTTTAAGTCTGCATAGTCGTTTCGCATTCTTTCTATCTCTTTGACTGAGTAGTTATATTTTCTTATTGCTGCTTTACATTTTGAACATTGCGGCATCGTTTTTTGCGTTATACATTGAAACATTACCAGCTAAAACAACTAAAGCGTCAATTGCTCTCTTCATCTCAAACATAGCGGGTCTTATTTGTTCGTTCCATACTTTGTCTCTTCTATCTTTATCTCTTATTTCCCAAACACATTCAGCAACTAACGAAACAAAGTTATCGTATGTCTTAAACTCCACCGATTTATATATGTCAGAAATATTTTTAAAACCATGTCGCAATCTTTGTCCATAACTTTATGGTTGCAATGAAAACCAAGGAATTCATAATTTACTTTACGTATGAATTTCTTTATTTCTACTGAGTCAGTTGCTTTGACTTCAATTTCGTCGAATTCAGGAATAGTTAGTTTTTGCTGCTGAACTTCAGGTAGTTTAGGCAAATGGTCAATAATATCCTGCATGTCATAAAGATACTGTTCATTTGTTTCATCTTTCGCACTACAGTCTAAATTACTTGTTAAAAGTTCTTGCTTTATCTTCTGGATTTCTGTTTCAAAAGTATATGAAGAAGGAATAAAGTTTTTCATCTCTATCAACATTGACGTAGGATTCATGACTAACGAGTTTGGTGCTGTAGTTTGAATTGTTGTTGTACCGATTGTTGAAATCATATCTTTTATACAAAATAAAAAAAATAAATAAAAATAAAACTAACTTTATTTTTTCTATCTTAAGGAAATTCATGAAAATTCACGAGGGTGAAAAAACAGGTGAGATCTCACCTCTTCACCTAAACATTATTTTTGTCTGATTTACATCTAATGAAAAAGTTTAGAAGAATTTTCTTATTCTTTCTGGCATATTTTTGTCTTTCCAGTACTCCCGCTCTAATGGTCCCAGATGTGTTGGCTTCGACTCTCTCAAATTCTTAGATGGTATAACATCTTCAACGCCTCCTTCATATCTTACTTTATAAGTGTCATCGTTTATGTTATAGTCAAGTATTTCAATAACCACTCCTCGCTTTGCTTCGTCAATGGTTTCAGCAAGTTTGCCATTACTACTTTCAACTAATTTCTGACGAGGATAAAGCGCAATAGAGTCGTCGGCAGCTTTTATAAGATATCCATTACCTTGCGTAGAGTCTACGATATAATAGTTTCTACTTAACCTTAAACGTTTCTTTGTCAACGGTTTGTCGTCAAGAACTACACGAACTTTTGTACCAGGAATGAGGGTAAATTGTGTTGAATTTCTGATATTTTGTGTTTGGCTTCGTTTCTTTTGTATATACTTTTCTTCTTGTTGTTGTGTCATTGAATTTGGTGTATGTCCTGTTGTAGAATGTGTTGAGGAATTATATACTTCGAGAAAATGTTTCATTGTTTCTTCGGTAAAGTCTCGCTCTTGGTTTAAATCTCTGAGAGTCCTTATGAAGCGGTTTATGATGCCGAGTATGTTATGGTTATGGTCTTCAGTAGTGTAGTGAGTTATGTTATGCTTAATGAGAAAATCTGTGATTTCATTGCTGAGGTATGCACTGTCTTGGTCTGATGTTAATGAAGTGGGATGATGTTCTGCTACAAACTTTTGTAAAACTCTTAACACTTCACGAGTTCCTTTATTCTTCATTGGATATGCATATGCTTTGCGAGTGTTAACATTAATGAAGATGAGGAATGGTTTATGTCCTCCTTTTCTGCTTTGAATGAGAGTGTCAAATTGGTATGCGTCAGGAGTGTTGGAGTAAATTGGTAAAAAGTAGTCGTAAGGGTTTATTTTTGTTTGATGTACAACATTTTTGTCAAAGAACCTTTTCACTTCAGCTCTGTTAGTAAATCCCCAACTTTTTGCAGCTTCATTGAACTTCTTAAATGACCTCCATGGATGTTGTTCGAATACTTCTTTCAAGCTCATTTATGTAAAGTTAAAGATTTTATTCTAGGCTCAAGCACGTTCAATGAACGCGGTACCATGCAAATACAGTCATAAATGGTGGCATATAATCTTCACCCAAGCCTGTTGGATTTGTTGTGAAAGTATGGACATGATTTCCTCCTGGTTCAGTTTGTCGAAAAGTCTTTTTTGCTGAATTGTTATAAGACGGAGATAAAACATCATGACCAGCTTCATACTCTGAGTTGTATAATGGATGGTCTCTTAATGAGTGGCTATGGTCGCCAGAAAAGTTTGTCGTTCCTGTATGAGTGTGCGGTGGAAGGTTTGCTTCTTTAATTTTCTTTGAACCACCTGTTTGCTTTGAAGAGTTAGCACAGTATAAGAATTTGTCTACAATCTGCTGCCATGTACCAAAACCCAGAACTGTTTCTGGATTTGTTGAGTTCATTGACGTATAAATAGAGCCTGCAGGATATAATGTTTGAAGTATTTCAGTCTTTAATGTTTGAAGCTCTGTTTTGTCAGCCTTCTTATCTAACATTGTTGGTAGTTCATATGCTTCAAAGTTTCTGGCATGATCTTCGATATTCCTGCAACTGTTATCTAAATTGTTTAGTGTATCTTTTACGCTTGTACTCGGATTCTCTAAAGGTGCACTTGAACCCAAATCATAGTTCAATATTATGTCGTCTGCTCTAACAGTTGAGAAGGATTTATGTGTATGGTTCTTGTCGGCTTTCTTATCTAACATTGTTGGTAGTTCATATGCTTCAAAGTTTCTGGCATGGTCTTCAATATTCCTACAACTGTTATCTAAATTGTTAAGAGTATCTTTTACGCTTGTACTTGGATTCTCTAAAGGTGCACTTGAACCAAGGGTATAGTTCAATATTATGTCGTCTGCTCTAACAGTTGAGAAGGATTCATGTGTATGTTCTTTATCTGCTTTCTTATCTAACATTGCTGGTAGTTCATCTATATCGGAGATGTTGTGTTTATGAGATTTCAAAACTTTGTTCATTGCTTCGAGTTCATCTTTGTCAGCTTTACTTTTAATAGCATCTTCAAACGTTATTTTTGACTTAACTCTCAAAGTAAATTTTGGTTCAACTAATACACCATTAACAGAGAAAGTAGAGGCATAAATTTCATCGTTATAACTAAATGTTTCTTGTGCTTTACCTGTGTCATACTGTACAGTACAGCTTATGTCATAACCTTTAGCACGAATGTATTTATATCTTCTTTCATTGGGGTCTTCAGTCTTCACTTCTTCATCGGTTTGTGTTAAATATCTATGGTAGTCCGTTATAATCTGTTCATCTGAAGTTATATAATGAACATGGTTCTTGACTTTATCACTCAGAGCTAAAAGCTCATTTTTATCTGCTTTTTCGGCTAATTTCTCATTAACATCATTCACTTCTAATTCAACTCTTCCGCCAGAACTCTTATTATCATTAATCTTTTTCATTAATTCGGTAATTACGTCATAAAGACTATATTCTGTTTTCGGTTTTGTAAATAATGAGTCAAAATTTCTTTTCATCATTACATCGCTGACATTAATGATATCACCAATTCTTTTTTCATTTATTCTCTTCATTAATTCTGCAATAATGACGAATATATAATCTGTTAATTTATTCTCTTCATCGAGGGTTATAGAATGTTTTGAAATTGAATCATTAACTCCTCTAAATAAATCCATAACTTCAGGATACACGTTTTTAATGTCTCGAATAACCCGACCAGTATCCTGTTGTTCATGTTCTTCATTCCCGTCGTTGTTACGTGGTTTTATATCTCTAACCATCATCGACGCAGCCATAACCGGAGGATTTGTTGTTATCTGTTCGAAAATCCGTCCGTTATGTACAGTATATCTAAATAATTTCTTTGTGTTTATTAAAACATTTGAAACAAGTCTTTTAAAACCATCTACAAAATTTCCTGTTTCACCTAATGTTCTTGCAGCATTTACAAGCTCACTCATTCCCGCTTTTGACCCCAAAAACGTCCATATTGCATTTATTTCACTTTGTATAGTTGTCCATTCAGCAAAATTAACACCCGCATTCGCTAAGCTGAAAATGAAATTCAGTGGCTCGAACTTAATTCCACCTTCTTTTTCAATTTCAACGAACTCACTAACATGAGATTTTAAATATTCTTTCGTTAAAATTGTTTTTCCTGATGTTATGTCATTAACGAAACTATCACCGTCAAAAGTTAACGAATTCAATTTCGTCGTTGATGCTTTTATTTCATACACCGCTTTATCGATGGTTTTTGGCTCACCTTCTTTAGAAGTGTATGAAACATTAATGAATGAATTATATGTATTCGTGAATGAGTTAAAATCAATGATTTTCATTAATGAAGCCTTTAATGATTCATTAACTGTTGAATCCCTTAAAGTAATTAATGAACTGTCCTTAATGAAAGGTACACTGCAAACCGTCGAGTTTGGATCAAATCCTGTAGTCGGTGAAGGAGTATTAATTATAAAATTCATTAAATCATTAAGTGACGTAAATAATGTTGTCGTTTTTGATTTAATTTCTTTAGCATCTGTTATATACGGTAATTTTATTTCTGTAGTTTCTGAATTAAAGATATTCGCTAAAATGTTTTGTAAACTGTTTTGAACAGCTGTGTAAACCGTTGAATCCGGAACTCTTACGATTTCACCGTCCTTAATAAAAGGCATTGTACATGGTGTAGTGCTTGGATCGAATCTTTTTGGGTTATGATTCAACATATATTCTAATGCTTCATAAACAGACCTATATACGGTTGTATTATCTTTTTCAATAATTTCACCGTCCTTTATAAACGGCATAGTACATGGAGTTAAAATAGGGTCAAACTTTTCATAGTCCTTCCATGTTATGTATTTCTCAGTATTTCCATCAGTGATAACAATATATTTGTCAGTAAGTGTGAGAGAGTATTGACCAAAATATAAACGTTTAGCTCTGTCAGCTTCATACGCATATGCAGCTATACTCATATTTTAATGAGAATAAAATGTTGTTCTATTTGCAAAGTACAGACCCAAACGAATACGGGACAGTAAAGCTACAAACAAACTTAGGTCTACAGAATGAGGCGCTTGCATTCAGAATGGTTGACTTCAATACTATCGCTTCATTCGTTATAACAGATGAAACAGATTTCATGGAGATTGAAATAGATGGAAAGAAGCACGAAATAAGATTTCACAATAATGTAGAATATAAGATGGAAACATTAGCTGGAGTGTTAAATGCTCTCATAAATACTACAATAAACAAGGATAACGAAGAAAACTTAATGAATGTTAAACTTATTGCAGGAGTTTTGAAGTTCAGTTATGCGAAGGAGTTTAAGATACCAAGAATGAGTCATAGAGTACAACTTCTTTTGGGTGCATACCATATGACATTTCCTTTGAAAAGTGTTGACAAAACGATTGAGATGAAATCTGTTCCATACGTATGTTATGGTAATTGTTTATACATTGAGTCTAAAATAGCTAATGTCACAGGCATTTCAGGAGTTAATAGTAAAGGTTCAGTAGAATATAAATCCTTCTGTTATGCAGTCAATTCAATGTTCATTCCAAACGTTCCTGTCATAGCAACTCATTTAGGTAAATGGGTTCGCATTAGTCCTCATAATTTGAAAGACATGCAATTCAGACTTGTTGACTTTCAAGGAGAGCCTGTAGAACTGAAGGCACCAGTGCGAATGACTGTTGAAGTTGACTTTTTAGAAAATATTAAATGCAACAGCTTACAAGAGAACTCAGAGCTAAAAATATAAAGTATGAATGTTATGTATTAGGTCATGAACTTTGGTTGTTGCTGTTTGATGAAACAAATGAATTAGTTATGTCAGTCAAGAGAACAGAAAAATATTGTGTTAGTGAAAACTGCACCAAGTCAATAAGATTAGGTTTGCATTATGAAGATGAGTTCGATACTGTTGAAGAAGTTTTGGATAGATATTACAAATTGCTAACTTGAAATTTTTTTGACTGACTGCTTTAATTTACTAAAACATATTTCAAACAAAGCTTATATTCTGTTGAAAGTTTTGTATATTCATTCGAATATCTATACTTAAACTCAACTCCTGTAGTTCCTGGTGTTTCAATGATGCGGATGTTACCTATTTTCATGAATAGTGGAGTTTGACCACAGCATTCGATTTCAGGGTCGAGATAGTCAATGACACATTGTTTCCCTGTTATTCGTGAGATAACATTTTCAAGGTCCTCCTTTGTTAGAATTATTTGGTTCTTGCTTATAAGATTTGTCAAAAGCTTCTTATCGTCTTTGAGTAAAATTGTTTGGTATAACTGAAGAAGGTAATGGTCTACGTTATCTGAAGGATTTGTTTGAACATTTGTGTAAGGATTGTCGTTGGCTTCTCTTGAAAGAATTTGGTCCAGTGGTGGATACTCTAACTTAACATCTGATGTAGCGTTAGCGTTTGAAGCTGAGTTTAAATTCACCGACTTAAGTTCTGGTTCTGGTTCTTTCAAACACTCTGAACTATAGTTCTTTATGACAATATTGTTTGTCGTTCGTGAGTCAACATTTGATGTTGGTTCAATTGGAACATTAACGGCACCAGCTAAGATGGATTTGCTTCTCATTTCATATAGAATAAAAACCTTTTATATGTATGAAATGAACAATATACTCGACAGGGTTTGAATGCAAAGCTAACGAATGAAAATATTGTTGAATTCACTGAGACAGGTGCTGTGTATAAAGATGTAGAACTACTGAACAAAAGAGCTAAGGGAAGAAGCAGGAACATGAACAAAGGGTGGAAGCCTATAAAAATTTATGTCAATGATGGCTCAGGAGGTTCAAACATAAAGTATGCAGAAAGTTATAGAGTTTATGCTCTCAAAGGTGAAAAGCCTTCATTTAAGAACAGCTATTCTAACGCATATCCTCAAAAGCTAACGGATGGGAAGTGGATGATATGAATGACAGCAAAAATATTAACAGAAATGGCGACAGAGATGCATGGAATTTGTTTACCATCAATCAATTGAAGGTTAAACTTTAAAACAATGTTGGTCGTTCCCATGGAATATTTTTGACTTTAATGGTATTAGTCATGATATGAATCTCAAGGTATGAACGAGGAGAGATGAGAGACTTATATGCTTCCCAAATTTCTTCAAAAGGTAATGTTATACCTGACTGTTTCCAAATGAGTTCAATATCATAGCGTGAGAAACCTTGAAAGATAACGAAGTCAGTTATGAGACGTTTTATGTTTAAAGCTAAAAACCTCCATGTTTGCATAAGTATTGCTACAGTTAAATGGTAATGTCTGACTTTAGTAATGATGTTAGCTAATGGTGAGTCAGGCTTTGAAACTAAACCTTTACCAGCGAAGTCGTCACAAACTAATAAAGTGTTTGATGGATATTTTTTGAAGGGTATTTTGAAAGTTTTGACAGAATGTAGTTTGTAAGTCGTTTCATATCGTAAACTCCTGAGTATTGACGTAAGTGGTGTTTGTCAATAATTCTTTCCATCTCCTCAGAAGTCTTTTGCATTCCTGACTGTATAAATTCAACGATGGCATAATATTTCCTCTTACGTCGAATGTAACGTTGAAGAAATTCAATGAGTTCACTGTCTGGAACTTTAACGACAGAGGCTTGAACTTTTGACATAAATGTTTTCGCTGTTGAGTCCATAGAGTCTGAAGTTGCTGATATAATGATTTGGTCATAATATGAGTCATTTCCTAAACGTTCTGTTATGAGTATATGACGAATGAGGTTAAATGTCTTACCTGAACCCATCTTTCCACAATAGAAATACACACCATTTGAACAGAACTCATAATCTTGCTGAAGGAAGAATAAGAGAAGAGTAAGTTTGCTGTAGTTTCATTCATGTCTTCATCTACGTCATGTATTAACTGCTTCATTTTATCTCCATTAAAAATGCAAGTCAGAAATATTCAGAACATAGCACCGAGTCTAACTGACAAGAGTATAAAGATATACTATGAACATGTTATGATGAAACCAACCAAAATTCAAGAAAGTCAGTATACTTATGAATATCCAAGACACTGGGTAGAGTATGTAGGAGGTGAGAAAGCTATTGAAATCAGACAGGTTCGAAGTATTCCAGCAGGAAGAACAATATTATTGAAGAACTTTAATGTTTTGAGGTATAATGATGAAACAAAGAAGCAAGATAGTTTCCCTGTTGCTGTGTATGTGAACTTAGATACAGGAGATGACATGAAAGTTTTTAATACAAAGCTTCAAACGGTAGTGAGAGAACAACTGACTGCGGAAGGACATCCATTACCTTCAGAAGTTACCATAGCATATAATTTTGAAACAAACTCAATAGATTTTAAAGTCATCTCTGCAAAGAAGTCAGGTTTACATTTAATGAAGCAGATGTATATTCGAATGAAAACTTCAAAGCTATTGCATGGTTAGATAATGACGATTGCTTTAAGAAAATATTTAAATACAGTGACTCAACGATGTCAATAGATGACCTTCGTGGAATGTTACCATCGACATTTACAGTAGAAGGTTCAGCAGGATTGCTTACAAGATTGTCAATTGGTGGTATTTGGTCTCGTGAGAACATTGTTATAAAATCCAGTATAAGTGAATTTGCTGAAGAATCTATATTATGTCTTTCAAACTATATGTATTCGCCGCCGAAGCATTATAGTATAACAAACTTTGTCAGTAAGTTTAACATAAGACTTGTCGAACCTTCTTCAATGAAAGATGTTGTGCTACCAAAAGATGGAAAGGATGGACTCATTATTGAGATGATTTTAATAGCATATTAAATGAGCTTGTTCTTGAAGGTCATTCATGATGAAATAACTGTTGTAGAAGATGTTAGCAATTGTTCAGACATTTTGAAGCGTATAGATGATATAAGAAAGAAGTTAGATAGACCGCAAAGCGGTGAGGGCGAAGCCCGTGAGAACGCTTATGTTTCATTGACTTTCTCCAGTAACGAGAACTTTTATGAGATAATATTGAAGAGAGATGATTTTAATATGGTGTAAATGGTAGCTTGGGCAGCTTTAGGCGCAATGGGAACAAAAGCATTAGCATTTGGAGCAAAAGCACTTGGAGCTTATGACGCAGTAAATAAAATGAGTGGAGGAAGGGTTTCGAAGACATTAGATGCAAATAAAGGAAAGATAGGAGGCTGGGTTGCAAAGAAGTTAAGATTAAATAAAATAGGGCTCATAAATAAAGCATCCAATTTGGTTGCGACTGAGTCAGAAAATGCTTTAGGAAAGGACGATGAGTTTGCAAAACACGCAAAAGACTTTAATGACCAGATGAAAGGTGAAACAATGCATTTAAATAGAGTCGATGGAACTAAAGAAAATGTTTCTTCTCCACCAGCGGTTTATCCATACGGACCTTATGGAATGTATGGAAACCCTTATGAACGACCATTTGACCCATTGACTGGTGGAAGTAATTGGTATCATTATGGACGAAGAAGAAAGACAGTCAAGTTGGAGACAGACGTGAAGAAAGCAACTAAAAAGAAACCAAGGAAGAGAGTTATAAAGCAATGAATTCAACAGGGTGAAAAAAGAGGTGAGATCTCACCACTTCACCTAAATTTATTTTTGTGCTATGTTTTCATACGTGTGAGGGTGGTGATATCATTAATTTTTAAGTTTATTTTTTATTTTATTTTTTATTTTATTTTTATATAAATGACGAAAACTATTGAGATAACAAACTACAACGGTCATGAGTTCAAGAATTTGTTCTTCGTTCCTCGTGAAAATACATTCTATCAGATACGAGGGAGAAAGGGTAAAGTTAGTTTGAGCGTTTATGACTACAAGCATAATGGAAAGTTTATACAAGCATATGATACAAACGGTAAGCGTGTTTCATTAGCTTTGTCAAAACTTACTAACATTTATTTTGACAGTGATTTTGACCTATATGAAGAAGAAAGTGAGTCAGAAGAATATGAACTGTTGTGTGAAGCACAGCAATGGGAGGAGTTGCAATACTTTTGTAAGTGAGAACGTTTATTTTTTTTACAGTAGTGAGGTGAAGTGGTTGGCGGCTTTGTAAATATTTAAGGTTAAGTTAGTGTTGTCGTTTGTGTTGTAAAATATACGTTAACGGTTTTGTAAAGTGTCAAATTCACATATCAAGGGTAAGGAGGCGCGCAGTGCCTCCGTACCCTTGATATGTATACTAACTAGCACAAAATATGACGAAAATAACAGATGCAGCAACGAGACAGGCAGTTCAAAGTGCCTATGACGCCGTTAGAGCAACTGTTGTGGAAAGTCAAGAAAAAGAGTTACAACAGACCAAAACAGACCTAGTAAATGCTTTCTTAAGAACGAAAAGTCAGGTAGGACATTATGCTGCAGATGGAACATATGTGCCAGCTGGTGGAACTTATATACCACCAAACCCTCCAAGAGAAGCACCCGCACCAGGACTACCTAAAACATTTACATCGTCACATGGACACAGACACAGGCATGCAACAAAACCAACACAACAACCAACAGTTCAAAATCCAGCACAGCAACCAACAGTTCAAAACCCTGCACAGCAACCAACAGTTCAAAATCCAGCACCACAACAACAACCAACACAGCAACCAACAGTTCAAAACCCTGCACAACAACAACCACAAACAGAGCAAAGA